CCATCAGCACTAACCCTAATCTAACACATCAGTACTAACCCTAATCTAACCCATCAGTACTAACCCTAACCCATCAGCACTAACCCTAATCTAACACATCAGCACTAACTCTAATCTAACACATCAGCACTAACCCTAATCTAGCCCATCAGCACTAACCCTAACCCATCAGCACTAACCCTAATCTAACCCATCAGCACTAACCCTAACTCTAACCCATCAGCACTAATCCATCAGCACTAACCCTAATCTAACCCATCAGCACTAACCCTAACTCTAACCCATCAGCACTAATTCATCAGCACTAACCCTAATCTAACACATCAGCACTAACCCTAATCTAACCCATCAGCACTAACCCTAACCCATCAGCACTAACCCTAATCTAACCCATCAGCACTAACCCTAACCAATCATATATTGCCGATAAAGTTAAGGTATCATTCTAATTTGACTAGGAATTAGATTTAAAAGAAATAAAAGAAGGAATAAAATCCACGGCTGATCATCAGGTAAGGGCGTTTGATAAAATGCAGTGGTCATTATAATGAAGAGGCTCTTCCACAGGTCTGCACACTCTGGCATTGGCATTAGAGATGGCCGGTAAGTTTGGCTTCACCATGTCCTTCACCGTGGTCTACATCTACACAGCGGAGCTCTATCCCACCGTGCTGAGAAACCTGGGCATCGGCATGTGCTCCTCAGCCGCTCGCATCGGCAGCATCACCGCACCTTACATCATATTCCTGGGTAAATCCTGTCCTGTGTGTCGAATCATCTGCATCACAGTGGACTGGAGAAACGACCTCGTGTTCTTCTCTCTATTCATAAAGGTACTTTCAACAAATATCTGCCCTACATCCTGATGGGAAGCCTGACCATTGCTTCCTCAATAGCAAACATGTTTCTGCCGGAGACGCTTGGAAAAGTGCTGCCCGAGACTCTGGAACAAATGCAGAAATGCAAACGGTAAGGCACTTGAATTATATGTGTGTGTGTGTGTGTGTGTGTGTGTGTGTTTTAACAAACCATACATCTTTATCTATAGACTTTACCTCTTGTTTTTTATTAGTTTTATTAGAAGAGATAAACGCACCTTGGAGGAAGGGAAAGGAACAATCATTGTGAAAGACGAAAAAATGTGAAAGAAGAAAAAGTTGATGGCTACACAGCAGGAAAAAATGAATAAAAATGATCCTCTGGACATTAAGACATTCAGAAGAATGGCACCTCGTCAATGGCTTCACAGTTTTCTAGGTAACTCGATAAAATGTGAATAAAATATGTCTACAGGTCATTTTTTTACATCAAGGTTTTTTTTTTGAAAGTATATTTGTTTTTTATGTTAATCTGTAATTGGTATTAGCACATGAATTTCTTTTTTTTTTTTTTACCATTATACTTAACATATAATTTAAAAGATATGAATGGTTGTTGTGAGAATCACACTAAAATCAGAAATGGTAGTTGGCATCCAGGTTGTTGTATATTTAAAGTGCTTGTGCAGAGTGCACAAATAAAAACGGTTATAAAGCAGATGGTTTTGTTCCTTGATTATGATTTGTTCTTTAGTACTCTATTATTACATTCATTCCCAGTGGAAGCAAAGCCACTGCAGACATCTTTTAAGATGGGTGATAGGGTTAGAAAGAAGACCAATCACAGCTGTTGGGGTCTATATAGACATAAAGAAACCCAAAGGACAAGCTGACGAGATAAGGCTACTCAAACTGAGAAAAAAGGCATCGTACTTTAATACTACATACACAACAATACCTCTGCATTAAAGTTTACCTCTGCATTAATTGTGTCCTCTAGTACTCAGTAACTGCACAAGTAAATCCTCTTAACTCTTTATTCAACACATGCTACATTTTACAGGACTATTATGGCTTCTTAGAGAATACTAAGTAGCACCTCTACACTTGAACAATATACTGCCACCTTGTGGTTAAACTACAAAACACAACTTTTAGGCATTACTGATTTTTCATGCAACTACCTCTGGATCAAATTTACAGTCAAATGATTATGATCTTGCCTCGACCTGTTTGACGGAGAAACACGGCAGAGCCTGAGGAGCATTGCTATATATACATTTTCCATTGGGATGTGGCATAAAGAAATGGAGAGCGTGTTAGTTTCCTCTGCTGAAGGTGGCAACCACACAAAACCTTCTTTAGAGATGCTGTAAGTAATAAGCACCGGATGGAGAGATGGATCATAACCAGGGGATCGACAGACCCAGAGTTCCTGCATGACGCAGAGCTGAGAGTGAAAGGCACTCAGGAATGAGCTCCGGAGCTGTGCATCTGATCAATCAAAATCTGCCTGGAAACTTAAGTACTTTCTTTTTTTTTATTCTGTAAACATCAACATTATACAGTTTGCATAATTATTAACTTCATACATTAAGAAAAGCCAGAAGGAAAAGCAAAAAAGTGAAAGTGTAAGTATTCACATGCATGAGCACATCCTCAGTGGCACTCGGATTTCAGTGGTTTGTGAGCTTGACGGTGTTATTCGTGCCACATTTGGCAGGTGTTCATTGCAAACCCTGGCTGAGGTGGTTTATCTGTCGCCGATGTTTGGATTGCATTGGCTTTATTGCAGGACCACCTACACCACACTTCTCTCTGCATGTATACGAGACATATTAAATACTTAATTCAGCAAAAAAAAAAGTGAGCTCAACATGGCTTGCTTTCATTGCAAACATTTATTGCAATTCCTGATGGAAACAACTGCATCTCTCGTAGCTCATGGAATGACAATGATACATGGAAGGACAGTACAGAAAATAAAACGCATTTATGTGCCATTCCACTGCGACTCCATAGAAATAGACCTAGAAGACTGCGCCCATGGCATCTCACCCCGGTTTAGATGTTTTACACTGTTATTTGTGTTTATTTAAAAAAAAAAAACACTAATAAAAATTAATAATAATCATGGAACAAGGCATGCATAATGTTTTTTTTTTCATTCATGTTATTCAAATTAAGAGCTATTCAAGGACAGCTTTAAAAAATCCATATATGGCATTTATATAAATTACATTTTGTCCATGTCATCGATTAACAGCTGTCCTTATTTCACTCACCTGCACCCTTCTGTTCAAGGCAAGCTATCGAACAGCTTCAAACATCAAGATCTTCTGTGTGTCCACTTTTCACCATCATCATGTTACTAGTCATTAGCAGTTAAATATAATAACGTGTTTTGTGTGGAAGGCATGCTCTGCTCTCGCCCAAACTATCAGACACTTGTGGCCAGTAATGATACTCACACATTACTCTGAGGTTCATTGCCATGCCCGTCTTCAATTCCAAACCATATTAAAAAAGAAAAACAACTATTGGTCTATTTCAGTTTACAGTAGCTTTGGGAATTAATTTCTGAATGTGGCAGTACAATTGTTTTAATTTTTTGGGAGAACAAAAACAGATATGCAATTCAACACGGCCACATCAGCGCATTAACAGAGTCTCGACTTCATCTTAAAGCCTGACGACAGGAAACGAAACACTGGAGAGAAGTCAAAGCACTTCCTGTTTGAAGTATGTGACGCAAATGACTCCGAAGCTGTGAACATATATCTGTGAATACACACGCAGAATCATTCCCTGATGAACAAAGAGATCAACGGACAAAAAAAACATCAAATTACAGAGTAAATAAAACCGAAGCCAATGCGAAGATTCATTGTTTGGAATTGACCACATTTGCAGAATCACTGCAGGTTTGTGGTTTTGGTAAGAAACAATGTGAGAACCAGTCGATGAACTGAAGGATAACAGTCTGTGTGAGTGGAGTCGTGGTTGTGAAGGCAGGATGAGCGTGGTGCTTCCTCTTCTTCCTCTAATCGATGTACTGTGAGAGCCAGCGGAAGCCCTCGCCGTAGCCCTGTCTCTTCAGCACGCTGCACATGAACACCTCCAGGGGTCTCGTGTTCAGCTCTTTCAGAGGAACGTTGCCCTGAAGACACAAACAAAACCATTAAAGGCGCTTAAACACAATTCTGAGACGTTCACAGATGGTAAATGTGAGGTGAATGCGTCAAGCAGGATTGTGACTGTCACAGGCATAGCGCCACCAACAGGCACAAATGCTCCTCTTATATTTCACCCAAATCACTTCAAACTGGAACAGAATAATGTCAAGACGGATGATAAAAAAATGCAATCCTTGATATCTTAAACGGTGTTTCCATTTAACGCATCAAACCTTGAAAAGGCATTTCTGAGTCTCTTAGCATTCATTAAATGTCATGACATTCAACACAAGAGTTATTGGTCACTGGACGTCAGTAAAAGCTCAGAAACGTGTGTAGAGGGAGGGCTCTGTAGTGGCTGCTTTTGACTAAAGCGGTGGGGCTTTTCTCCCCAACAGCTGCCAAACCTGGTACAGATTAGGGGCTTTTGCACTGGGTCAGGGCTAATAGCACAGAGCACAAGATCACGCTGCGCATTCTTCCAGAAGCTCCGCAGCGCTTCACTAAAACCTGCCTCTCTGGAACAACGTCACGCAACCCCATCATTTCACCAACAAAGAGAAGTGATCAGAAAACTAATCAGAAATAAATCACTGGAGCTGGGCGAGATCACAAAACCAACATACGAGCGGCCGTTTGCTTGCATGCTTTGATGTTTACTTACAAGATTTCAATCCAAAAGCATCAATGTTTTACCAGTTTTACAATAATAACTGATACATTGATCATAATGAATTAATTTGTCAGGATTGAAAATTAGTCACACAGAAATAAAGTGGTATTTACCGTTATTACACAAAAGAAAGAGGGCACATACTTCAGTCGCATCAGTTTCTGATTATAGTCACAGTATACATCACATTTAGAAAGAATGATCATTTCTATAATTTTTTTTCGATCAAAAATACGACCCGAGTAACGCTGGCAGATGGAGCTCCCGAACAAAAACTATGATTATCCTATATATTTTATGTCATACGTGGAGCTAAATATGAACATCAGACAGTCAGGTATAAAGAGACGAGACATACTGACAGATAAAATATGTTACTAAATAAATAAACGACTGCGATAGCCTATATTTGTCTGATTTCTTCAAGCGGTCGTATTTACCATATTTACTATGGTAATGGCTAGCGTAGTCGCTTATGAATATTTCTGGCTTGTATGGTGATCATAATCCACATCAGATCTCAAACAGAAGTTATTTCAAACACTCGGTGCAGTCTGAAAGTGAGTTTTGAGCAGTTCTCAGCCAGCAGAGACCTCAGAGAAACACCTTCTCCAGAGACATTCACACTGAAGTGATGCTAGCCGGCCGACAGAGACATTATTCAGATCAATAACATCAACAGATAACTGCAGGACAGAAGTGCCTGGACTGCAGCGTTGGTCCATCTATCACTGTTTTTCACG